GGTCACTGACCGGGCACGTCCGCACGCGTTTGAGGGGTTGAATTAGAGGTATGTGGCTAAAGATGCTGTAAAAATATCCAGGATTAGTCTGTCTCCTGTAGTTTAGTTAAAGAGCCATGATTTTATTTTAAATTTATCTTGGAATTTATCTTCCATTTTATTCCGATTTGTTGGTTCACGTACAATTCGTTTAGTAAATCAACAAAGTTGAACCATTTGCTAAAGGAATTTGTATAAAGAAAATAGAAAACCAGAATAATATTATTTTTTCATTCTGTAATTGTGCATGGATGAACAGTTCTGAGTGCTACACGAGTCACTTAACTGGTACTTTCTCCGTTCGGAATTACTTGTCGCAGAAATGGATGTATCTAGACGTATTTTAATTCTAGATACATCCATTTCCGAGACAAGTAATTCTAAACGGAGGGAGTAGCTTCGAATATCCTTGGATGCAAGTTCATAGGAAAAAGAGAATATCATGCGATGCCCCTCTTGATGAACTGCAAGATGAACGGGCATTTGTCAGAGCAATCATCCTCAACTGTAATTGTCGTTGTTGCACGCCTACTTCAGTAATGATACCCACGAATCTCCCAAAGACTTGATAAGATATTTGTTTTACTTGTGGCGTAGAATCTTGAAAGGTGAAAAGTGATGATGAAACGTTAACAAGTGGAGTGGTAACTAATTTCCACATCCAAAGTCCTCCACGTTTTGGTCCCCACAGATCAGAAGTACCTGTCAGATCAAACCTAACTTGCCACACTAATCTTCACTGTGTTTCCACAAGTAAATGGGTGACAAGCACACCTTTTTTCTATTTAAGGTAGCTATCGCAATACATCTGCAAGAACAAAGCTAAGCGGACATCCACGGAACCGAAGCAACGGCACCACGATGACTACTCGATCACGTGAAATGTGAGGTTCTGTATGTTGGATCGACTTAGGGATGTCAACGGGTCCCGTTTAAAGTCCACTTATGATATGATAGTTTAAAAAGGTTTTTTTGTTTGTTTGAGGAAAATAAACTATCAAACTAGCAAAAACTAACTAAACAGGATTGTGGACGCCATTTATTTGCTACTTACATCCCTAGATCGACTATATCTACTTGTGCATGATTTGGGTTGTCTATTTTTAACCCAACGGACATGTTACGGGGTGACCTAGCTACCATGGGCAAGTCACTGGATCTCAGTCTTTTTCCTCTTTGCAGTGATTTGCAATATAATGGTCCGCTTTCTCTTACCTCTAGCTCACCGGCTGCAAGTATCGTTGTCGAGAGCTGAGACGTAAAGTCCTTTATTTGTTTGTCCATGATGTTTCAAGTGAAACTCTCGCTACAAGAAGATGACGCCCTGTCATACTCATAATTAAGTTGAGGGCCAGATGGTAGTTTTGCATCGAAAGCTTCTATTTTTGTTATTTTTTTTACAGAATTCCTCGAATGTCATTTGGCAACCAAATTTTTGCAAGCACCTAAAACATTTGGTCATACCGAAGCACAAAGTTACGGAATTTTCTGATTTGTTTTGCTATTTTTTATGATTTTTGTTCATCACGGATGCAATGTACCTACGTGTAGAAAAATCAGTCTTCAACAACATAAAGTTTCAGTGTTGACACTTTCATAGGGAAAAGGCAGCAGACCAACTTTATAAATAAAACCATGACAGCTAGTACTCAAACAAACAGTGCAAGATGTTGCGAAGTTAACAGCATGCAAGTCAAGTACACATTAGCACAATCAAACCAACGCACGCAGGCCCGGAATAAAAGGTAAAGTAGTGATCTAAACGCTCTTATATTTGTTTACAAGGGGAGTAGATCATCTATGCTAGTCGGGTTCCAGGGAACATTCAACCACAATCAGAGAGGATGTGCTCGGTGTTCTCGCTCTCCCGACAAAAAGAGCAAGCAGCGGAGGCACGGCCATGGCGCTTAATGATCTGGTCACGGCCAGTGTTGAAACTTTGAGGTGAACACTTTTTTTCTGGGGAACCAAAATAATTTGGTGTTATCGGTCAATTAATCTCTTGCGTCGACTGGGAAAAAAAAAACTCAAACATCTAGAAGTGATGCATGTTTTTAATTAGTGTGATCCAACGTGTGTCGTTGCTCGATCTCATGGATGATATGCGTGAGGTTCTGTACTTCTGTACCACTACTAGTTTCTTCCTCTTGAAAGCGTGGCATTGTACGAATACCCACGCCTTCAAGGCAGCCTTGCAACTGGATCAGTAGCCAAACTCGGCATGTGAGGAGCCGCCTTAGGGTATCTTTTAAACGTGATTCATGCTGATTGGAGACTCTGCTCATGCATTTTGGAGATGGTTTTTGCGGTTGGCAGTGGACATCAGCAATCGGTTCCCACAGTTATTTGGTTTATTACGATTTGACCACTAACAGCAATCGTACACAGTTTGGTTAACGGCGGGTGGTTGGTCGTCACGAGTCTGATCATTGCGCCCTAACTGATCATTGAAAGAGAACCCCATTTCATGGTACTACTCTTTAAGTTCTTCAATAACACATCTCATCATGCACCCCATCCCTCTATCAGATTGTAGGAGGAGCAGCTGGCCACATCGAAATTCATTGTCAAAAGTGAGGGAAGAAGGCCATACGCGCGGCTAGCGCCCAAAGCAACCTCTCCGAGAAAGAAATCCCGGACTGATCGAGGCACCGATATCCAGCAGAGTGCTAGGCCCCACGTCACCAGCTTTTTCCCCTTGTGAGCCAGACACTGTGGCCAATTGGAAGCGCCCCCGGCGATTCTTCTCCTGCCTACGCAAATGCCAGGCAATGGGAGGGAACCCCCATCCAAATGCAACGGCAGCTCGCTCATTTCCCCCATGCACAGATGCATAGTATATGCATGCATGAAGCCATGGAGGCCGTGGAGAGGGAAAGAGAACACCGCCAACATCTCATGTGTGGCCGTCAAGGATCGATGGCATGGTAGCCCTCAATCAATGTGCAGTGACCCAGTGTCCTTCAAGTTTCAATCATTCAAAGGAGAATCCGACTTGTGTGGCGTGCAACAGCGAACTGATCATGGTGCAATCCTGATGGTTTCGACGTTTGGCACGCATGCATTACGTAGGCATGCGAGGTGCGGGCGTATCCTAATTTGTACACGACGATGATATATCCACCATGAATGTTGGTCGCGATGCTGGTCCATGCCATTTCTGCCTATGAACTAATAAAGTGCGTTTGATCTTAATTTCAAACTGGGAGTTTCTGAGTAATCGGAATTGCGTGATTAATTCCTCTATTGTTTTCCAACTCCCCTCTACTACTGTATATGACAAGGCAGGCCATGTGATGATGTGCAACACACAAAAAGGAACGTAAACCAACCAAGAAAACAGTGGAAGCGCCAGTAGAATCGAGGAAGAAAGTCGTGCCACAATTAATTCTCCCCAGCCTGGTTAGCCACAACGCCCTGGTTAGCAAGCAAGAGATGAGAAAGACTGATGGACGGATGCAATGTGAACTCACTCCAGGCCTATCATTGAGAAAGATGTCACAGGATGAGGCAGCAGCCCTGCCCCACACCGCGCAAAAGAGGTCAGTTTCCGGTCCAGGGGCGCGCTCATGTCCTATGTGGAAAGCAGGAAGGTGGCGAGGGAAAGGCCGGGGGCTAGAGGCCAGCCAACAAGACCTAAGCTAGCTACATGGAATTGGGAGGGTAGCCAGGTTGCAGAAAAAGTCCATACCAGTAGTAGCACTTGATGGTGATCAAGGAAAGTAACCAGGGATCGGGAAGAAACCACACACACACACACACACCAGGGCAGGCCGGCCAACTACACGTCTAGTAAATGAGCGCATACGTAGGGAAGGGAAGGTGGTTCATATGGTTGGGTGGGTGCATGATGAGTCGCAATATTTTTTCCACAACCGCATCCATCTCCATCACAATCATTTGTGCAAATACCTAACAATTATCGAGCCATGCATGATCATCATGTGAAATACTTCTTCTACTAGAACCAAAGCGGGATGTGGATGTGTCCGTACCTGAACGGACGAGTCTATCATCTATACACGTACTCCCTCCGTTTCGAATTACTTGTCTTGGATTTGTCTAGATACGGATGTATCTAGACTTATTTTAATGCTAGATACATCCGTATCTAGACAAATCTAAGACAAGTAATTCGGAACGGAGGGAGTACGTGCGTACCTAACTGATCTAGAACGCGCCCACCCTCGGTGAACAGAACAGACTCGTAGTAGTAGCAAGCAAAAAAGAAACGGAGGATCTGCTGCATGTCTCACCTTTTGTAATGCCTACATGCATGCGTGTGGGCACAAGGGGCCAAGCGAGACTGATGTGTGCGTGCGGCTTCTAATATTGCCGGCCCCTTTACACACGCGCGTCCACGCGGCACCCCTAATCATCCATAACAGCAGCACGAGAAAAACCTAAAAGAAAAACCGGGCTTTTGAGCAGCAGCGATGGCTGGCTGTTGAGAACAGGATGAAAAATATGCAGATCTGCAGGAGGGAACACGCGCAGGGAGGGAGAGAGAGAGAGAGGGAGGGCGCAGCACGGCACTCTGGTCTGTGGAGTCTGGACCCTCCCGACGCGAGGGGTCGATCTCCCTGCTGCCTGCTGGGCTTGTCAAACATTCGCAAGTGTCGAGTGCGCGTGCGCGTACGCCCGTGTGATGTGGGTTTGCATCGCCTTGTCCCCCCCGGGCGGCTCCACACCTCCCTCCCTCGCTCCTCTTCCTCCTCAAATATTCTCAACCCCTCGGCCTCAACCAATTCATTCCCCTCACTCATTCCTACCTTCCTCCCCACCCCTCTCCTCTCCTCTCCTACACAGACGCGTGAATACACTTCCGCGACACCCTGCAAGACTTGCGAGAGGATTCAAGTCGGCGCCTGGCAAGGCAGCGCAGATAGACAAGATAGTTTGCTGATTCTTGGGTCAAGCTAGCTAGAGACCATTGGCTCTGCCGATTTGTGCGACACGCCATGGCGCAGGAGGAGGTCCACGACGCCGGCCTGGCGCTGGGACTGTCCCTGGGCGGAGGGGGCCGAGGCGGAGGCGACGGGTCGTCGTCGGCGCACCGCGGCAACAACAGCAGCAGCCGGCTGACCCTGTGGGAGGCGGCGCCGTCGCTGGAGCCGTCGCTGACCCTCAGCATGCCGGAAGACACCACCATGACCAGCACCGCGTCCGGCGGCGTGTCGTCCATGTCAGTGGGGGGCGCGGTGAAGAGGGAGCGCGCGGAGGAGGCGGACCTGGGCGAGATGGTGTCGTCCACGGCGGCCGGCGCCGAGGAGGACGACGACGGCAGCACGCGGAAGAAGCTGAGGCTCACCAAGGAGCAGTCCGCGCTCCTGGAGGACCGCTTCAAGGAGCACAGCACCCTCAACCCGGTACGTACGTTGTACGTGCTACGTACGCATGCGTACTAGTCACGTTCGAATCGATTCACCGCCGATAGATAGCCGCGGATACCTAACATGCATCATCTATCATCTGCTGAGATCTTCTCCATTTTTGCGCGCGCGTACACATGCATACAAGCAAAATCGACAAATCTGGTTTACTTTCTTGATCTATGGTATTCTAGATACCTCTTTTTTATTCATTTTGATGACAAGTATTTCCGGACGGAGGGAGTATGAGCTACTGAATCAAAAATAAAAATGAGTTACTGAACAGCTTTTTTTTGGGTGTCCTTTTTGGATTTGAGCAGAAGCAGAAAGTGGCTTTAGCCAAGCAGCTAAACCTCAGGCCAAGGCAGGTGGAAGTCTGGTTCCAGAACAGAAGAGCCAGGTTAGTAACCTTGTATTATACGCGAGTATATGTCTATATGATATTGCCACTCCAGCTTACAGTCTCCTGCTAGAGCTGACTTGAAACAATTAATCCTTGTATTATACACCTCTTCATCTTCTCAAAAAATTAAAAAATACACGGGCAATCATTTTTGTGTGTTGCACTTGCACTCCTATCTCAATTCATTTTCTTTTACGTCCATGCATGCATGAAAAATTAGCGGAACCCTCTGCCTAAAATTACGGGTTGTTTCAGTTCTGGCGGTGAACTTTTTGTATAGCTAACGTTGGATCCCGTGTTACACGTGCATGCAGGACGAAGCTGAAGCAGACGGAGGTGGACTGCGAGTTCCTGAAGCGCTGCTGCGAGACGCTCACCGAGGAGAACCGCCGGCTGCAGCGGGAGCTGCAGGAGCTCCGCGCCATCAAGTTCGCCCCGCCGCCACCGCCCAACAACGCCAGCCAACACCCCGGGACGCCGTCCTCCGCCGCGGCCCCTCCGGCGCCGTTTTACATGCAGCTGCCGGCCGCCACGCTGACCATCTGCCCGTCCTGCGAGCGCCTCGGCGGAACCGCCGCCACCGCCGCCGGCAAGGTCGACCCCGACAGGCCCAAGGCCGCCACCCACCACTTCTTCAACCCCTTTACCCACTCCGCCGCCTGCTGATCTGCGCTCCACCGGACCGCGCGTACATACACGACGCTCATCAACATCGATCAGCACCACCGCCATAGCTAGCTACGAGTAAGTAGCAGTGGCCGCCATAGCTAATACCTCACGTCGCAAGTAACATATGATCCTTGCAGCCAGCTGCAGGACATGGACATGGACATGATCCTCCTACTTTTGCCATTTCTTGGTCTGGGGGTTTAGTCCCGAATCTTGTTCAGTTTAGCTAATCCATCCATCAATCATAGGCGCAATCCATAGACGATAGGTAGTCAAACATCCAGCCGTAGTAGCTTTGTAGCTAGTACTCGAAGCGGCCGGCCATTGTATATTCTTGTGCGTGCATGTAACCGTGGACCTCTCCTTTTGGTTGGCTTCTCTGCCTTTTTGTGTTCAAAAGCTGATTATCGGAGAGGAGATAATAGGTTAAGCCGCCGCTGTGATGAACTAATTCCTAGTCGTGTCAGGCAGTGTTTGGATGATGACATGAGAGAGGGCTAGAGAGAGGCTCTTGCTGTCGGGTGCGTACGTGTGTAATGTGTATACCTTTCTGACTTTTTTTATATGCATATACGTTTCAATGATTGTGCTTGTCGGGCCTTAAACTTTACTTTGCGTCCCGGTTGCTTTCGCCTTTGCTGGTTCATTTAATTGTTAATGGGAAAGCTTAGCCTCTCTTCTGCTCTTGCTTAACCATCTGTTCAGTTATGTTAATTACACCGTTGTAAGTTGTAACCCCAACCTGGTTAACCAGGCCAATTTTCACACGACCACTCTGATTTGACTAGAAAGAAGCTCGTGGTATTGCCTGGTAATTAATGACGTACGGTTTCTGCCTCATCATCCATCAGATGTCGTTTTCAGTTAGATTGTTGAGTAATTACTAGGTAACCAGAAAAAAAAACACCATGACTCTTGATCTTCTGCCTTGATTTCTCTATGCATATGGATTGAGCGAGCTCGCAAGAAGTGACACGTCAAAGGGAAAGGGTTTGGTAAAACTCAGTTGACTGAGACATAATCAAGTTTAGTTGATTGCTTAGCCATTGGATCTTTGCGCGGAGATTCATGCTAGACGGGGCACCATCCAACAGCCCTCGCAACACTTTATCTCGTCGGTCGCAGCGTCCGTAGGTGTTGGTTGCAGCATGTCATCTCATCGGTCATAATATTTGCCCTCATTGCTCGCAACACGTCATCTCATCACTCGCAGTTTCCGCCATTGATGTATGCAACATTGAGGCTCATCGATTACATCGCCTATCATTGTTGGCCACAAACGCATGTTGTTGCCATTTGCAGCATGTTGCACCACGAGTTGCAGCATCCAACCATGTCGTTCGTAGCACCACAAATGCGGTGACATCACTCAACTGAAACTTGGTTAAGTCTCAGTCGACTAAGCTCTAGGCAGACCCAAAAGGGAACATATAAAACAGTTGCCTCATTTTTTCTTTGCTCACTTTGTCGATTCACCCCGCCTGGATCCATCGGCCTTCCAACCTTCTTTGTCCTCACGCCTTTTCTTCCTTGTCCAATCCGTCGCTCACCACTCGTGTGTTGCCCTATAATTCAAGCTTAACCGCCAGCCTCTGCCTCGCCACAACAACCTAACGAGTTGGCACTTCCATCATGC